TGATTTACGTAAAATTCGTCCGCCCGTCTTACTCCAGAATTCAGGCATAACCTGCAAATGTGGAGTCTACCTGACGAGATGAATGAATACGAAGGTCGTCTAAATAATACAAAGATTATTTTTTCGTCGTTGCATTCTGGGAGCTTCTTCCGCGGAGTAAAGTGATGGATGACGCGGGCGTGAAGCCGACAATTCGCTCTCATGGCTGCCTCTTTCGTGCACGTCCAGCTGATGCGACGAAATGTCGCCTGCTGCACGAGATTCCGCCCGCGTTCGCGTTTTAATGAAACGGAAGTGCTTCGGGTTTCATAAAATGTACAGGCCGAGGGACTGTTTGTTGGCTTTTCAGGAAGGACTCGGCTCGTAGGAGTAAGTACACATAATTTCCGGGAAAGTACATCAGAAGACGCCACGACCGTTTTCCGCATCGCTCCTTCCCGATTCCCGCGGCTTGTCCGACATTTGAAGCGAAATTTCTGCAAGTCGAGTGAGTCCGCTGTAACGGCTGCCGGAATTCGTTCTTAACAGACGTCGTTGCACTTGGAAGCTCAGGAGGACACAGCTCGAGTAAGTGACATTTAAAAGTTGTTCCCTTGCCCGTTATCAGTTTTAAGGCCTCCAGGATAACAATCAGACGAGTGCACTTCGAGACGACGTTGCGGGAGACACTCGGAGAAAGCGTTGTTCTGTCTCAGCCTTTTCCCTTTTGTTCTAGAGTGTGTGGTTTCGAGTTGAATAAAGACAGATTTACATTTAATTGCCACCGGGTGACATAATTACCTCAAATGAATGGTAATGAAACAATTGAGAGGGATTTGTAGCTTATCAGATATTCTAAACTTAAGTGGAATTAAGGAATTAGTTTGAAATTAACGCTGCCAGTATCTTGGTGTACCGCTGTACCTTAATAGCAGTAGCTAATTTTTTCTTAGTCACTCCCATGTCAAGAAAAACCACTGAAACATTTTTTCTTTTGTGAAATTCGGCAAATCAGAAATGAGATTGACATCTTCCGAGCTATAACGTCTCATATTTTTAGGTGTTCGTGAGTAGCAGTACATTTGCTTTTAATTGTATTTTCTTTATCTGTTGTCCCTTGGCGTGACGCCAGATATCATATGCGTACAGTCCGTGTAATATGAACGTATTCTGGGTCGCCGTGAAGAACACAACGGTGCGAGACAGCAGACGCCGTAGCAAGCTAAAGGGTAATGAAACTCGCCAACAGAGGCGCTGACTGGGCCTCGTTTGTTTCCAGGGTTGGAAAAGAAGTGATGGGAGAAGATGACACGGGAGCGTTCAGCACTTGGGACTACGTGGTCCTTGTCGCTATGCTCTTGATCTCAGCGGGTATCGGAGTGTACTACCGCTTCACTGGAGGCAGGCAGAAGACCACGCAAGTCAGTAATCACACCGCAAAACTCCTCAAAGCATTAAGCCCGTTGCCGGGAGCTTGTTTTATTAAAGTAGTAGAATGGTGGCCCTTCTCAGTGGACAGTCGAGTTTGATTCAGGATGGTTCGTGTGGAAACCTGATGGATTTCAAACTGCTAGGTGCGACCCTGCAGTTTATCTTCAGTAACAAATGTGCGCTTACTTCTGTTGATCAGATCTTATAAAGTCAGACAGACTGAATGGAAGCGACAAGTCTTACAGAAAAATGAGTTGACCACATTTCGCTGATATTGCTTAGAGACAAATAGATCTCCCTCAATAAGTGTATTTTCTTCTGGTATTTGAAGCTGTAAGTAAATGTGAAAATCTATGGGCTCATTCATAAGCCGATGTCACTCTGAGGCCGAGGAAAATAAGAGTTTTCTTATCAGACTTATGATAGTTGCAAAATTACACTTCAGAATAATTTTAGCTTGATGCTTGGACATTTCATTTTCAGTTAAAATGCTGGAAATTCCATTACGAATGTTCGTTAAAACCGGTACCCGAAGTTATTGAGATGCGATTGCTTCCAGGACACAGGCACGTGCTTCACTGCTCGTGTGCTCAGTGCAGAACACTTTTAGAATGGAAAACAGCGGAACAGTGTCGTTTTAAATAATGACAGCCCTACACATAAACTGCGTAACCATTTCAAAGCAGAGTCCTCTTTGCATAATCTTTTATCTTTTTACGTTTGTTTGCTTAAAACTTGAGAAAATTTGACCTGACATATTCAAGAATTTTAATGTCAGATTTGGTCCTGTAGGTTGTGACATGAAGTGGACTGTCACGACCTCGAACAGACCAACTGCGTCACATTCACCACCAGAAGAACCTCAGATCTCATTACTGTAACATTTTTGCATTAATATCTGTTTTCTGAAGTGAAACAAAGTTTATCTCAAATTGAAGTTTCACTGTTTCAATATGTGACTAATGAGCCAGTTCTTTGATTGCAGGAGTACTTGCTGGGGGACCGCAATCTGTCCGTTTTCCCCGTTTCTATCTCCCTGATGGCCAGCTTCATGTCTGCTATCACTCTTCTCGGAGTCACTATGGAGAACTATGCGTATGGGACGCAGTTCGTCGTGATAAACTTTTCATACGGACTGGCGACCCCCATCGCGGCATACTGCTTTCTTCCAGTGTTCTTCAAACTGCAAGCCACTAGTGCCTACCATGTAGGTGCTGTCCTCACAAAAACAAAACTACCATTAAATAAAGAATCGTCATGGGGACTTACGAATTTTTCATATTCCGCGTCAACTCTCACACTTTCCAGACCACATAACGTACACTGTCTAAATTGGAAGAGGATGTAATTGTGCTATTTGAAAATTTTGATGTTGGTCTTCTGGGTTGTAATGTTGAGCTCTGACGATGGATAAAGTGTCTTCCTCTGAAATAACAGCGTCTGCCCAGAACACCAACATTATGAAGAATATTCCATTCCATCCAAATCACAATCTTCCTCACGTAACTGATAAAGTAAATGTGGATCACTGCTCCTGGGATGCTGCAACCCTGCAGACTGCCATGAGAACTGAAAATCTCATCTCATACAGAAAACAAGTTTGAAGTGTAATTTGGGAAGCTGTCGTAATCTCTCTGTATGTACCGCTCTCTTGCAGTACCTGGAGCTGCGGTTCGGACGGGTGGCGCGGCTGGCCGCTTCGATCGCGTTCTCCCTGCAGATGGTCCTTTATATGGGCATCGTGGTGTATGCTCCGGCCCTAGCCCTGGAGGCTGTTACAGGTCTTTCGAAGACCCTTTCTGTTCTAAGTATTGGCCTCGTCTGTACCTTCTATTCTACCATCGGTGGCATGAAAGCTGTTGTTGTTACCGACGTCTTTCAGGTGGGTCGGAAAATGTTCAAAGAGTCTGCTTTTCTGTTCTGTCATGGTCGAGGAGGAGATCCTATTGATATTTTTTGAACGTTTATTTACATTTTGCATGATTTCAAATCCTAGAACCTTTGTTTTGATTATCGTTTCATTTACAGATTATAAATGATAAGTTAGAAGGTTTGTTGTCATTAAATGTTGGTGTCAGTTAATAATATCAGTTGACTTATTTGTCGTCATTAAATGTCGGTGTCAGTTAATAATATCAGTTGACTTTATTTAATTACAGTTATTACATAATTACTTAATAATACTAATTAAACAATATCAACCTAAGTTAAATCATGGGCCAAGTAAACTTACTAAATCAGAGAAAGACATTATTTTAAAGAAAGCGGAGCAAAGTGCCAGGTTAAAAGAATTATAAACAGATTACTCAATTTTTGGTATTAGCCAAAGAGTTTACAAGTGAATTTTACCTTTTAATTTCGTCTTGTAATCTTTGTGGTTAATGGTTGAACAGAAGGTTTGTCTGTGCGTTGGGTGTGATACAAGGATGGCAAATGTTGGTATTGTTTACCTGTCTCCTGGGCTTCGTGTCTGAAGCGGATGCTTTCCAGAAGGACTCCCCAACATCTGTTAACTACATTATGTCAGGCCAATATAATTGTTTTATGTGCTTGTGTTTATGTCATCAAAACGTGATGATTAGTTCTTTGTTTTCAGTCCCTGTTAATGTTTGTGGCCGTTTACGTGGTGATTATCAAAGCTACAATAGATGCGGGAGGTCTGGCAGAAGTGTGGGAGATAGCTGTTAATGGGAGCAGAGTTGAATTTGACAAGTGAGTTGCCGCTCGGCGCTTCTGTCTCTTAGCTCGGTGTTCAGATCTTTTAATACCGGTTATCGGCACAGTCATAATGACGAGGCACCAAGCAAGAGCATTTTGGTGGAGATGTTCGCCTCTCGTGCATGCTTCATGACTTTGTTCCTTTTGGTACAAATGTGTTCCGAATTAACGTTTTTCTGTCATCGTCATCGCAGCCAAGGGGTTAACACTCATGATTCATATTTTGAGGGTTATGGATTTAAAAATTGGCCTAGTTCTGGCTGTTCTGACTTGGTTTCCTTCAGTCCCTCTACGCAAATGCCAGGTCAGTAACTTCAATTAGACCACTCCATTCCGTATTCTTTCCAATGCATTATTCATCCTATCATTCAACACTTTATGGTTTGAATCATTAAATAAACCACAAACAATCATCATTATTGTTTTTATTTTCTGAATGCTAACTTTTTATGCTTTTCTATAAATAATGTAATACAAAAAAGGACCTTCATATAATTTTTCTAAAGATCAGTTCAACAGTTCTCGTATTATGAGATGACAGAATAGAAACAGCGAGACGTACATATAAAGCTTAATTTACTCTACAACTTGCGTCTGAAACATTTTTCACTGCAATAAATACACAGTCAGTTATGTGCGCACAAATGCATGCAGTAGGTCGTGTAAAGTATCCATTGTTTTGTATTTTTAGAAAAAATTAAAATTCATTAAAAGATTTTAATAAAGCTCCCGAATATAAAATTTCATGAAAATCTATTCATCTGTTCTTGAGTTGTTACGTACGGACAGACAGGTGTGGAGAAAGCTAAGAGAGACATTTTTGTCAACTTTCTTTTTAAATTCGTCTAAAATGAAGTTGTGAGTTGTAACTTAGGCTGCTTTTTCTGTCCTGTGTGGCATCGATGTTGCTGCGTGAACGAGAGTCTCTTTCATTTTGCTTCGCAGCTTTGATCCTGATCCAACTGTGCGCCACACGTGGTGGAGTCTGATCATCGGCGGAGGCTTGACGTACTTGTCACTGTACGCTGTGAACCAAGCTCAAGTACAGCGTCTGCTGACTCTAAAGTAAGTGCAGCTCGTATATTTCTTCTGACCCTTGACTTCACAGTGAAGTTTTAACCCGGAGAAATAGATCGTATGTATTAAGATGAGGACCTTCCCTTGATTGTCGGTGTTTAGTTAAGTGTGTTTGAATCAGCTGTTTTGCAGTAATGTGTGCGCATCTGTCACTTTTCTCACGTGCGTATACGTCTGTACTTATATTGCGTTGTAGGTGAAAGAAAGGGAATGGCGGTCCCAAAAAAAGAATGACGTTGTGTCTGAGTTACAATAATTTGTTATGGAAGCTTAAACAAGTTTCTGTTGCAAGAACATTAGTGCATGAACTGTCTTCATCTGCATGGTATATAATTTCATTCTTATTTTGCATTGCTGCTTCTATACATGTGCAGTAACACGCTTATTCAAAAGGCATTTGCATTCATTTGTTTGCTGGCGTCAGAACAAAGCTAGTTCTCTAGCAACTGCGCCTTAATGTCCAACGTCAACTTTTCTACTTTTCTTTCTCTCGGCAACTGCGCCCTAATGTCCAGCGTCAACTTTTCTACTTTTCTTTCTCTCTCTGTCTGAGGTCTTGATGTAATCAGCTGATTAAGATGTGGCATTAGATAAGAAATGAGACTTGCAGTATTTGTACCCTTTGTGTTCTGGAACAGGGACTTGAAGAAGTCGCAGCGGGCCCTGTGGATCAGCTGGCCTGTTCTCACTTTGCTTAGCCTGAGCACCTCGTTCTCGGGCCTCGCCATTTACTCAAAGTACAGTGGTTGTGATCCTTTAAAAGCTGGGCGAATTTCTGCTTACGACCAGGTATGACAGCGTACATGATCCCTCTGTCTTATTGTGAATGACCAGTGCGTTTGGGTTCACTTTATAGCCATATTAATCAGTCATATTTTCTGCTAGGTATAATTTTTGATGCAGTACTAATAGTGGCAAATTGCTCAAATTTTGGCCCCAAATAAGGAATTATCGGATGATCGTACAGTTCTTTTGAAGAGGATGATGTTTTACTTGTTGCTGTGCAGATAAATAGCCAGTCTGTTTGTTCCAGCTGATGCCTCTTTACGTAGTGGACAGTCTGAGGCACCTCCCAGGCCTCCCAGGGTTGTTTGTTGCTGGTATATTCAGTGGGTCCTTAAGTACTGTGTCCTCAGCTGTCAACTCTCTTGCAGCTGTGACTTTGGAAGATTACTTCAAGGTACAAGCTGGTATAGTACCAACATGTTGTCCATTAATGAGCGAGTCCCTTTGGAATTTACATGGGGAACATGCATTCCAAATTAGTACTTCTCTCAGATGTACTGTAGACATAAATAAAATTGTAGTGTGCTTATGAAAGTGTCCATTTTTGTGTTCAGGTGCCAAATTTGGTGATACATTGTCATTGTTTCAACACTGAAAAGAGTGTCGGTGTTCCAGTGCCAATCAGTTGCAAAACTTGCTGGCCTCTGACATGGAGTCTTTCTTAACTGTTGTCTCCTGGTTTGAATCTTTTGCTTTCTGTAGCCAGCTTACGCTAGCCTGAAAGGCACACCACTACCCGAAGTTTGGAGTGGGTTCATCTCAAAGATACTGGCGCTGCTGTATGGGCTACTGTGTCTTGGTATGGCCTACGCTGCAGAGTACCTGGGCGGTGTTCTCCAGGCGAGCCTGACCATCTTTGGAGTTGTGGGTGGACCGCTGTTTGGGTTATTCACGTTGGGGATGTTCTTTCCCTCGGTCAATCAGATAGTGAGTTTAGTTGCAGCCCATTACTAAATTTGTTGATTTGCTGTTCATGATTTTAGGATGATTAGTTCACGAAGGCTGAGATGTGAGAAACAAAAAAAATACACACACAGTCTTGGATGTAAATTTAAGTGGAAGAGTTTTTTTCTTGTTGAAATGCCTTTCTGTGTTTATCTTCTGTACAGAAGTAACGAAAGAATTAATTCTTATCTGTAGCACTATATATTTGTAGTTGCAGTGTTATTAACAGTTTCCTTTCTGATCCTTCAAGACCCAACGTCCAGAGTTACAGGAAATAAAGCCTAACACAATTTTCTTCATATTTTCATGCAGGAATAGTTGTAGATGGTGAAGGATGTGTGTAGTAAATCAAGAGAATTAAAATCTTCCAGAAAATATTATTTTCTGATCAAAGACTGAACAGTAAGACCTATCACATACCACGTTCAGTTGTATTTTGCTGTGGTTTTGTTTCAGGGGGCAGTGACTGGGCTCCTCGTTGGCATTGCTTTGTCACTGTGGATTGGCCAGGGCGCAGTGACTGGGCTCCTCATTGGCATTGCTTTGTCACTGTGGATTGGATTCGGTGGCCCCAAGCCCCCTCCAAAAATGTTGCCTATGTCAACTGAGAGTTGTTCACCAAGAATACAGACTGATTTATTGAACATGAGTGCTTCAAGCAGGGTTCAGATGACAAGACTGATTCAAAATGCAACAACTGAAGTTACCAGGGCTGCTGACAGGTGAGACCCCTGAAAGACGCGGGCTTCGTCTCGTAATTACAGCATAAGGAAATTATGGCTGATGATATGTTTAGATTTTCTCTGTTGTGCATTAGGAATTATGTTTGATGCATCCAGTTTGGTCAGTCTATTGATATAGGACACATCATCAGGATACATAGATCGAATCAAATTTTTAGCGTAACTTAACATGCTGTAGAAATATTTTTCCAAGTAACTTTTTTAGTTTTTAAAAATATGACACAAAGTCCGATGAATCCAGACTAAATATGAGGATGCGTTTGTTCTTTATTTTATCATTAATGTAATGTTAAGTGTTACCCTCAGACTAACGTATAAACACGCTTTTCTCTATGTTTACAGTTCTGATGACTACTTTCTTCTATATAAACTGTCGTATATGTGGTATGTTGTGATTGGCTTCCTGGTGACGCTGCTTGTTGGTATCATTGTCAGCTACGTTATTAGTTGGTGTCGTAAGGAACCAGACACGGTGCATAACCCAGACCTGTTTGCCCCTCTTGTTCGGGGCTATGTCAAACGGAGGTACCAGACAAAGGCACCGGTAGATGATGAAGATGAAGTAAGTTGAACTTATAAATGTGATATCTGTTATTTAATATTTTGACGTTTAGTCAATTGATGGATTTAAAGTTGAGTTCTCTGCACTTGTAAACCACATCTGTTAGTGTGTCAAACAAATCAAGACAGAACTTGGAAACTAAACTTAAGAGGATGAGGTCTGAGGTTTCACAGTGGTGAAAATGTTGATTGCAGTTTTCAAGGTTGGAGGTAAGACATTTCTCCAAACCACCAGAAACCACATACAGCACAGCATCATAAAACATAAGACTGTGAGGAACTTAGCAGAAATGTTGGTGTGGAAGTAGCGTTTCCTGCACGCGAGATAGAATAGTTAAATTTCCATGAGTACGCTTGTAAAGGTTATGTCACTAACTTATTGTTTCTAGGTGGCAATGAAGGAAAAGAATGGCATCAAAATTATCAGAATCGACGATGATGCCGATAGAGTGCCTGAATATAACGAGAACCAGAAACTCTCTGCAGCAACACCATTATAACAGTTACTGAAAATAAGTGTTAAGGCTCTCAGTGCCCACATAACAGGTATAGTCACACCGTAACCGATTGCAGATGGCATTGCGCCTTACTTGAAACCATGGCCTTTAAACCTGACATTTGATGCGGTTGTTACTTCAGTTTAGTCAACATGAGAGCAACCTACAATGACCATACCAAAAACCATGAGTACATTTACTGTACACTAAAACAAATGCTCATGAAAGAAAACAGGTACTGTGTGTCGTACCTAAATATGTCCCATCGCTTCTCTGAGAATGATCAGTGCATTTCTGTCAGCACTGCATGAGCTTATAGTAGAAATCTATTCCAGCGCCTTACAACCAGCTTTGAGAACCGCGTCATTGTTCTTATAGTTCTGGCCTGTCATGTGATATTTAGAGACCTGAAGTAGGCGGTAGTTTGAGGGGGTCATGAGCATGTGTTCTTTCCAGTGTCACACGTGCAGTGTTAGGTTGGAATTGTCATGTTGAAGGCTGATGTGTCACATGTGCAGTGTGAGGTTGGAATTGTCATGTTGAAGGCTGACTGTGTTTCTCATTGGCCACTTGTCACAAAGAATTATTATTCTCATTTCTTAAGTAATAACCATCAAGTACAAAAGTTCCCACATGTATAACATGCCTATTTATGTTATACACAGTATACACTTTGCTAGTATTGTATAAATATTATGTTTGTTTGTTACTAAGAAGCTTATATTACTCTGTTCCTTAATCAGGTATTTCTGATTTACAGATTTTACTTCCTGAACACCAAGCAGAAGATTACAGATTGTATGAATAATTAATTATGCAACATTATTTTTGTATGAATCATACAGAGTTCATAAGAGTAAATCAGTATTTTAAAATAGAAAATTGGATTACTTAGAGGTCTGGTCTTGTGTGTCAACTGAAACCAGTCTGACTGCAACACTTTGTGGTGGGACGAGGATCCCGTCCCAAATCTGAACTAACCGCAAAGTGTGTGCGTCTTGTAAAGCACTCATCATTCCAAATAACAATGGCCACTGTTACTCAGTATGAAGAAAATTATGGATGATACTCTTAAGTCTGGTCCTAACAGATATTATTGACCTAGTGGTATTTGTTCTCTGCATCAGCTGTGATAGTATTCGTAGCATATGTGTCCTCCTTTAATCCGACCATTATCCAGGCTGCTGCATCTGTGAATAATTTCTTCATGGCAGGTGCGCTACTCATTGTAAAAGGTGTTGATGATGACTGCTGGCGGGGAATCTTCAGCTTAACACAAGCTCCAGGCCTCAGCATGAAGTCAGTATTCTTTACAATCACAAAATTGTTCATTTATTAGAGGTGAGTGTAAGCAAAAACAAGCACAAAAGTTTGGAAATATTTCCGGTCAGTCTCAAACCCAAGATGTTTGACACAGAAGTGCAGTGCCTTATTGCTGGCTCCCAGATCACTCTCATTATCAAAAACACATTCATGAGACCATGGGAACGCTATTGAAGGAAGTTGAAAACATCTCTCACTCTTTTCTTAATCATTGAATAATTCTTTTGTAAATAAAAGAGATATTAGAACGGGTTGGAGTTAAGCTGTTGAACGCATCCTCTAGGTGTGGCTTGTGAAAGTATTCCTTTGTTTTATGAATATTTTTAATTAAGATTTTATTTTCTGTTTGTGCTACATGCAGCTTGTGAAACATGAGCCTCATGCCTTGAACTACCTCATGCTCCAAGACCAAGTAATATGCAAGCTACTACATTATAATATTTTCAGTAAGGTGTAACGTATATTTTGATAGCCATTCAGCAGTGACCATCTTGGGTGGAAGGAGAAGGGAGATATTAATTAATTTATTTGATATAATGTAGCAGTGAACTAGGAAGAGGTATATAATGGTCTATGACTGTACAGATTTTCACAAAGGAAGTATAATTTTTATGTAAATACATAAATATTAAGAGGTACAGCTACAACAGCATTTTAGTTAAAATTTGGGGGTTTACCATGTTCCTAGTTGAAGCCTTTCCAAGTAGATGGTGACATTGAAATAGAGGTATACGTGCTTCCAAAGAATCAAAGTATGAGAACAATGAACTAAGTGAAGTGAACTTTATTCCACCACACTGCTTACTAAATGTGGCGCTTTAACTAAGTTAAAAAGGCGAATGAATTTCATGTTCTTTTACTGCAAATGTTCCTTGCTCACAGATTTGTGAACATGCACTATACTTTGGTTCTTCAAATGCAATTTGTTGTTCTATAAAAAGTGTCTATACAAATGTCTTCCAAGTAAAACACTGCATATGTTTGATGTACATGTCTTTTATGCTCATGTCTCTGTTTAGACATTAAATTATCTGCTGTTTGTAATTTACAAAAATGAAATATTTTGATTTGTAACTGTTTACAATTTAAATAAAAAAGTTGTTTATGTATTGTTACTGGAGTATAAGATAATTGAAACATCAGTTTAAAACTTTCTAAACTATCTAAAGGAGTAAAGACTACAGGAAACTTCTAAAGTATTGAACATCAACTTGTATTGTTATTCATCTGATTTTAATAATTTTATAGGAAATCACTGTTATCAACTACATACAAGATGTCACACAATGATTTTGTCACAAAGTTAACAATTCCTGGGGTTCTTCAGTGTTTTTTTAATTACATTAATGAAGATACTAAGAACAGATTGCAGTTGAGGAATGCTTACTACCTTTTACTGAAGTCTTTTATCTTCCTGGATGCTATCTAAAAGTGTAGCGATAAAAACGAACAGAACTATAATTTTACCTATTCTGTGTGGGTGTTAAACTTGGTCTCTCATGTTAAAGAATAACACATTGAGGGTGGGTGAGAACAGGATACTTGCAGGAGACTGTATGACCAAAACAAGGAGGGTGAAGTGGGTGGGGCATGCAGCGCATATGGGGTGATGAGAAAGAAATACAAAATTTTTCTTTATTAGCCAGAAAGCACACGGCATGGAAGGATTTTAGCCATTATGTACGATCGAGATGTCCTTTTCGTCCAACACCCCCTCCGTTGCGAGGTTAGCAATTGGCACAGAACAGTGACGCCAGAGACTGTATATCGGGTCTTTCTGTACTCTTTAATCTGTGGTCCGAGTTAGAGCTGAAGGATTCGAGGTGTTTGCAGTTTTCGGTAGGAATAAAAGTAATTGAATAATTTCGTTCGGTTGTTTCTTGTACATATTCGTGTCGGTATTAATCTGTACTCGTATTATTCGTTAATTTGTAACAGTCAGATTATTCGATAGTGTTCATTTGTTTGTGTCCATGACTGAGTAATGTGAACTCTTAGTTTGCGGTTTAGACTGATAAAGTCTAAAGTAATTGTGTATATTTAATAGGCTTCCCATTAATCATGGATGGTATAGGGGCAGAAGTGAGTCAGAAAATACGGGTGAGTTTTTCAGTGATTTTAGTTATGTGTATTAATTGAGTTTTACGCTTTTATTTGAAATATATAAGGCATAGTGATCCACAAAAATAACCATGAAGTTTTATAAGCCAGGCAGTTGTAAAACGCCAATAAATTAAAATAGTTATAGAATCCCACATTAATTGAGTTTGATTTTGTTGCGTGCTTTGTATGTTACATTATTATTTTACTTGGACGAAATTCGTGCAGATGCTGTACATAAAATTTGTCGGCTGTAACCTCAAAATTTGGAATCGTCGCCAGACTTATAAACACTGTTTCATAATACATAGTTTGTAGTTAATGTGGCCAGTGCACTGAGGCTCACCTCCCGATGCCAAGAAATAATGATGAAATTATATATTAAAACGTTTTAAATTAGTTACAATGGTTTAAAAGTTAAAGTGTAAAAATTTATTATTAAAAATGTTGTTGCACAGCTTTGCAGTGTGTTTTTGCTGAGTTGTATGTGTTGTGGTGCATCTCTGTAGAATGATGTGGGGTGTGGTGCATCTCATAGCACCATTACTGCACCCCATGTCATTCTAGAATGATGCACAACCAAGAATCAATATTACACACTGGGATGCTACACTACAGACTTAAATGAGGCATTTCCCACAGCTGCCGTATCATTTTACGCTTTTCGTTAACGAGGTAGGGTCTCTGTCTACTAGTGGTAGGCAGATTTTGTATAATCTTGCCAATTCAGGTGCCCAGCATTTCGGTATGTATGGATTTATTTTCTTCCTTTTGTCTTATTTTTATGTCTTTGTGGGTATGTCCACAATTCTTGCTTCAGTTGCCTTATTATGTGCCATTGACAAAACTTACTTAATTGAAAAGCTAAGATTGTCCAGTGTCTAAGGGGCCTGACTAAGAAGGTATTGCCATGCTCCTTTTTTTTGCCTGTTAATGGAAACAAACCCAGTTTCTGAAACATAGTTCTGATTTCAGAATACCATACAAGGTCCAAGAAAACAGGACATAAAACTTATGGTTAGGGAAATACCTAGGGAATGATTAATATTAAGATGAATTGCTGAGATGTGGCTTGTGAGAATGTGATGTGAAGTGAATTGACTGCTGATCTTGGCATTGGGTGGAAAGACTAGTGGTACTAAAGAATATGTTTTCTGTGTTCCAGAGCGCAATAAAGGCGAAATTGATGGAACTAGGAGTGTATGTTGGTAAGTACTTTTATTCAGTTATAGTAAAGATGGCCTTGTAGAGTATTCGTATTGTTTTATTTGTTAATTAAGTCACGTGTGTGGAAACAATTACATTTGTTTGTATGTATGCGAGTGTCTTACAAAAATCACTTTACCACAGTTGATACCGTGCACGAAAAGGCACACTTACCGGTGTTGAACAAATTTTTTTGTTGTGAAGAAGTTTGGTACTTTTCTTTCATTATTATGTGACCTACTAGTGTCTGGTATTTTATTATAGTTGTTAATAGTGTAGTGATCGTGAGTTTCTCGCATAACGATGTCTCATGACTTGGAAATCTGCGCGAGAGTTTTCCTGATGATTTTCAGTGATGTGATTTTGTGTCCTTGTTTTTATGACAGATGAAGAATTACCTGAGTGATGTGATTTTGTGTCCTCGTTTTTATGACAGATGAAGAATTACCTGATTATATTATGGTAATGGTGGCAAACAAAAGGAGTCGTGAACAGATGGATGACGATCTTCAGCTGTTTCTGGGATCAAATACAGAGGAGTTCACAGGATGGCTACATCAGGTACTCCAGAAGCTGCAGGAAGTTACGGTAGCAAGTTTAGGTGAGTCGTGTGCTTTTTCTGACACACAACATTTCAGGGCTGAGGGTGTGGAGACATCGCTTCATATCCGCTGTTGGCTAAGCATCTTGGCTGTGCATATTAAATGCTGTTGGGGTGTCACAACCCTTCGACATCAAATGGTGACAGTAAATGTGATACATGTACTAATGATGTTGATGGCATTTTGTGTAGGCAACCCTGATTTTGCCCATTGAGTGTATTTATGTGTTTTGTATGACTCAGAATAAACAGTGATTATTTCCTTAAATGGTTGATATTTGTAATAGGGAAGTGTCGTGTTTTATTTTTGGTGCGGACTGAATTCTTAAGTATTATTCAGATAAACTTTGTGGTTTAGGGGATTAAGTGAGGTTAGAGTTAAGTGTAATCACACGTTTGTAATTTTGTTGATGAATTTCCCAGTTTCATGGGAAATATAACTAGATTTATCAGTTGCTTGTTTAACAACATCTGATTGCTGGTTGAGAATGAGGGCATTGCTGCCTGTTTATGTCCACTGTTTGCAGGTGTATTTTATCACTGCATTTTGCATTATGAGTGTACACTCTGAATGAATTTGTAGGTACGTTGTTGTGAAGTGTGGAAAATATTTTTAATTAAAAATTCATTTCAGAAAGAAAGCGCAAATCTTCCACAGGCGAAAACGAGGGAGAGAACTTCAAGAAGGACAAGAGAAGGAAATCTTCAGAAAAGAAGAAGGGTCGACGGAGTGGCGAACAGACGAGAGGAAAAGATGCCAAGGATGATTCAGAGAATGTAAACCAACATTCAGGAAAGCATAAAGAGTTGGAGGAAGTTACGAAAAATCATTTGAGTTTAGATCAGAACGTTTCTAGTAATCAGGTTAATGTTGAGAAGGGTAATGAATATATAAGTAAATGTCAGTCGAGAACTGACGAAGAACAAAATGACAAGAGTAGTTCACATTCACATGCATTGGGCACTACTAAGCTGAGTGAAACACCAGCGTGTAGTGATTCTGTATCATCAAATGATTCTGGTAAGTTGCATAGAGACGGAGTAAATTTGAAATCCATAGGGATGTCACAGATTGCGCCAGATTCTCAAAACAGGTCTGATGAAATATATTTGGGAAAATCTGTTTGCAGGAAAATTAGTTTAGCAGGGAAAACTATTGCTTCTAGTAAAATTATTTGTAGTGCAATGGAGGAATCTTCTAATGTGGCTGAAAGGTCTGTATTGAACCCAATAAAGAAAGGGACAAGCAGCGGGAGTGAATTGGACATCGCAGAGCTCGTCATTTTGAGGAGCGCGGAGGAGAAAACTCTTGCCGATGCGAAAGCAAGTGCGACTGCGTCCAGGACCAAGATTGTTTTGATGCAGAGTGACGACGATGATGACGAAGACTTCATCAACATTAAAGCTGATGCTGAAGCAGGTAACTGTGTACGCAGTCCATTCTTACTGGTAGATGATGTTTGGTTTTCCTTCCAGCACGGGTTTTTACAGGTTTTGCGCCGTGCAATGTAAAGCTGTAAAAATCAATACTTGAATGGTCCATGTTGTTCAGTTTTTACTAACATTTAAATTCAATGGTAGATTTTGACTCTAAATTTTAAACAAAATTAGAATGAGTTCAGAGGTAGACAGAATATTGCGTAAGAAGATGAATAACATTTTCTTTCCACCTTGAACATAAAAAAAGTAAATAAAATATCCGTATTATGCCTGAATGTATGTGATTTGCAGCCGCCTTTTCCTCATGATTGTGATAAAATGTGTTGCTGTGTATCCAGTCACTGAGTTCAGCGTTCTTTTCAGAAGAATTACTTGATGCTGAGTTGCCGAAAGAACCATGTCACAGTGGCATGAATTCTATGAAGATCGTTACTGCAGCGTTAAGCAAGGGAATTGATGATACTAAAACTGCATTTACTGCAGATAAACAAAGTGAGTCGGGCGTGCGAGGGCTCCAATTGTCAGACAGGCTCGGTGCAAAAGTGACTTCGGGTTCAGTTTTGAGGAAGGTTACTGCGCTGTCCCATGAAAGTAATTCATCATTGCTCCGCATCACTGATCGTTTGGGTGATAAAGTAATTCCCCTGGTGACAGACATCAAGAAAGCTGGTTCATTGGTGTCTGACGGTGTGCCAGGACACAGAGAAGAGAGGCGATGTAACATAGTTCCAGCGAGTAACAGAAGCAGTATTTCAGAACAACGTAATATTTCTGTGGCACACGTTGCGCCCTCAGCAGTGAGCAGAATGTCCAGGTTGATGAACATCAACACAGAGACAGAACAGTTGGGACCGAGGACGTTGCGCAGACCTTTGGAGGAAGAGCAGTCTGGGGACAAAGATCAGGTAATAGAAACTACGGGTCATGCACTTGCGTCTTCCTTGATGTAAATGAAAGTGGGTGGGCACTGTGGGGTGCCAAAACAAAATATTTGAATTCAACATTTTGTACCACCTCGGCAGATATTTTGGCACAATACTGTTTATGAAGCAGTAAGATGTAAAATGGAAATCCAGTGTCAGTTCTTTAATTCGATATTGCTATAAAATAATTCTAATCCACTGAAAGTTTGAAAGAAAATAAATGTGTTTTGAAAACAGTCTTGATCATGAACTCGTAAAATGGTTCTGATACAATGTTTATTATGACAACATTTTAGTGACTGCTGACAGACCATTTCTCCTCACGTAGCGCTTGTGGGAGGAAGTAGAAAACATACGGCAGCATTTTGATTGTTTCACTGGAATTGCCTTTGCATAGGAGAGAGGGTGTAGGTTCAATTGCCAGGCTGTGGTCTACTGAGTTCTGCTCTTGGTTTTATCGCAGGGGTCTCGAAAACGGCCGTTGTTGTCGAGAGTAGTGGCCATGAGTAGGAGAGCTGCAGATAAAGAGGAAGAGTATGACCCCACTAATCCTGCTGTTGGGTCTGTAGCGTCAGTGGTTCGTGTGAAACCTCGCCCCAAGGTTCCTGCATCTCTACAAGCCAACAAGAATCTCATCCTCAAAGCCATGGCAGAAGCTCAAAAGTCTGTTGCCAGTGCGCCAAAACGTGTTGAGCCAGATGAGGTAAGTCATTATAGCTTCCAGTTCTTGTGTTACTTAGTGACTCTGTTTCAGCTGGGACGTCAGGACAGATTTAGTGCTGATAGACGTGGGAAGATGTTCACGAATGGTAAATAAGGATGAATTTGTTAGTGGCTCTGCTCATTTAATGTTATGTGAAGTTTAGGGAGCTTTTAAGGTTTTACAATTGTATAAATTACTTCTTTTATGGTACAGTCTATCCAGATGTATGAATAACCTGAACAGCGGATGTGCCACTACTTCTTTCTTCTAAGAACGTTTCAGTGTGGCCGAGGGGACAGTCTGGGTCTGTATATTTCTGGTTACGGCCCAGTAGCAGTTTCATGTAGAGACTAATGAATAGATGAGGAATTTTCATCTTCTAGAGAAGGATTTTTCTGCGTGGAGTTGGTTATTTATAATATTACTGTTTGATTCAGAAATTCATACAACAGCTTGAAATTTAAATCTTTCTGTTATCTATGTTTTGCAATCCTTGAAGCATGTATAAAACATCATTTCAGCGCCCTGGCGGTCTGTTTACGAGGAAGTTTCGAGACTGCAAAGGCGGCGATAAGATTGCTATCACTTTGCCTAACAGAAGAATGCAGCCACATGAGGACGCTCCTGTGACGGGTAAGAACTGAGACCAAATGCTCGTGGGATTGCAACAGACAAGAAACATCTGGAGAGTAATCTTTTATCATGTAATTACTTTTAGGAAAACCATCTGGTGTCGAACGCATAGTGATTCCAGTGAAACTGGAAGCATCTAGGTCCATCTCAAGTGTCAACTTGCAGCAGAAAATTGTTATACAGGTTTCTTCAGATAAACCCACAGCACCAGAAAGTAAGTACATTTCGGGCCATTGAACAGCTCTTTAAACTCTTTACTGTGTAAGTACTTATATTTCTCTGCTGCCCTCTGTTACAGTTGTTCCTCCTCCTCCCCCTGATACAGTGGATTCCAAGACTGAAGAAGTAGTGGAGGGAGGCAATTTAATTTCAGACTATGAAGAAGAAAGTGCAAAATTGATTGAAGTGGCTCCGAGTACAGAAAGTGAAGAGACAGGCGAAGTTCAGAGGTTGGCAGAATCCTGGCCCAAGGATCTGGATTTTCCCGAAACATCGTCAGTCAGGTAAGCATTCAGGTCGTTTCCGACGGACGCGAAGCTCGGGTCAGACTTCACTAAAGTAAAGTGCAGAGATTAATAACAGATGTAACTTTAAAGAAGGCTGTCGACTGCAACAGCGTGCAGTCTGCTAGAAGTTTACCATTCTTTCACAGGTCCTTGCTGCTTTCATCATCAGGACTTCTGTAACATTGGTAAACTTATAACAGAATGCACATTGCTACAACCCAGAAGACGGCTGTCTTCATGCTCACCTTCAGAACCTCAAATTCTTTGTGTGTATCTTTCTTGGAATTTGTTGACACGCCCTGTTAATTAGCTGTCGGCAGCGTATGAAAGTAAATACCAGCGAAATTTGCAGAATCGGAAAAAGAGTGTTTTGAAAATGCGTGCACTGTAAATTGGAATTCACCTTGCATTTGGGTGGGGTTGGGGGTAGATTGAAAGCTGCGGCCTATTACGAGTTGGTACAAACTTTGCATCTCATCGGTAGTCTTCATTTCTGACAGTTGAGACGTGTGTGTCACTGTTGGCAACAGAAGCTGAGCCTCTGCTGTTCATTTCGAAGCCAAATCTGCGAGAGAGGAGTGGCACTTCCTGGTTTGATCCTGACTCGTTTTGTTTTCTTTTGCACTGTAGTTTAGTTTGCATTTTTTGAACTACTGACAGTCATAGTCTATTTTAGGTTGCCTGAGGCTTCGCGGGCTGAAAGCCCTCAGTTTGTAGTGACGCTGGATGGTTTAGATCCTTCAATATTTCGTCTGCATTCTCAAAAGAAGGAGCGTTCATCTTCAGTCGTTATGAATAGTCCGAACGTGGACTCTGAATCGTCAGCAACTGAGTATGAAGAAAAGGAAGTGCACAGGAGCAGAGGAATACAGACGGAAAAAGAGCGAGAGAAAAGAGTGTCATCGCCAATATTGTTTGAGAAGTCCGGCAGCCCTGATGCTACAGGTAGTAATTATATTTACAGCTCTGTGCTTTACTCTCTTGGATTCTGTCTTTATCGTAGTTACAGTGTTTAAGCATTTGCTTTAATGGTAAAGTTGCCCACGGCACTCGTCAAAACACGAGGCGTGAGGATGTGTGGGAAATTGAGACTGAGGTCCACACCTCTGCAACCTCGGCACTAGACGGCCGCTTACTCTGAGGGAAGGCGCCCCTGGTGCTCATTGTATAGGCTGGGCGGGCCCCAAAGCTGGTCGGGAGTAGCGATGAAGAGAGAAAATTTAACCACAGTTATCCAGGATGCAGCCTGGTCACTGCATTGACTGAACTAAAAATTTCAAATGATGCATTTTGAGTTTTCAAGGAAACAAATTGATTTAGGACAGAATAACAGAAGCACAAGCTGACAGCATTTGCTGAATGAGCACTTGATCGTGTTTTTATGTTGAATTTTTAGGAAGGAATCTCAGTATTACATTTTATCAAATTCTGTTTAAGTAAAATTGGAATTTTTTTTTCTGTGTTCTAATTCAGGGTTTTATGTAAAATGGTGTAATATGAACCAAAATTAAATGTTAACTCTGAAGCATGTCAGTATTTAATTCCCTTAAAATGTGTGTAGCTACAGAGGGGTACGTACAAAGAGTAACCTTTTTTACCAGTAAACAAAGTCAATCACGATGAATTCTGCGAACATTTTGAACCAGATGCGTTGTGACTGAGTTGTTCCTTTCTGTGGCCGCAGTTGCAGACGTCCTGAAGCAGAAAGTGAAGGACAGATGCAAGTATTGGCCAGCCTGCAGATCAGGAGACAGGTGCGATTATGTGCACCCAACTGTCCCTTGCAAGTAAGTGCGTGCTCCGTGGCGCAACATCCCAGAAGACATCCAACTCCTACACTAGAAATATTTTACGTCTATTCTGTATAATGTATCATTGAATAGCCTATAATTAAGAAGAAGAAGAAAAGGAATATGTGAATTCCATTTAATTACTGCTCAGAGGTGTTCCTGCATGTGTTTTGATGGTGTCGAGTAATTGATCTGCTGCGTTTGGTCGTGGCCTTCCAGTGCTGTGATGACTGTTTTTGTTTGCAGGTCTTTTCCTAGTTGTAAATTCGGAGACAAGTGTCTGTACATTCATCCAAACTGCAAATTTGATGCGTCCTGTACCCGGCGTGACTGTCCGTTCACACACGCTAGTCCACGTAACATGTGCGCCACTTCATCAGGTAAAGTATTGAGCATGAAGTCAGATTAATGTGCGTGTGATGCTGAACTGTGAACATGGTTTGGAGCGCTCCTTCAGAAACTTCCTGTCTCTCAGCTGGTCAAGAAATTCTCCGCACTACAGATTTATTACAGTCTTCACAAGATCTATTTTAATATCTTCCTTTAGTGTGTGACCAGGTATCCCAACTAGTGTCTTCCTCTCAGGTTTACCAACCGAGTTTTGTACCTGTTTTTTGTCCCCAGACTCGTCATCCTCAATTTGATAACCCGAATATTTGGTGAAGAGTAGAAATTATGAAACTCCTCGTTGCGCCGCTCACACTACAAACTGTGTCCATGTATTTCAGGGGTAAGAACCACGCCAT